TAGGGCAACGAAATAGGTGCGTGTTACGACAAGCGGCCGATAACTTCCAGGTAACTTAGGGCAACGAAATAGGTACGTGTTACGACAAGCGGCCGATAACTTCCAGGCAACTTAGGGCAACGAAATAGGTGCGTGTTACGACAAGCGGCCGATAACTTCCAGGCAACTTAGGGCCACGAAATAGGTGCGTGTTACGACAAGCGGCCGATAACTTCCAGGCAACTTAGGGCCACGAAATAGGTGCGTGTTACGACAAGCGGCCTATAACTTCCAGGTAACTTAGGGCAACGAAATAGGTGTGTGTGTTACGACAAGCGGCCTATAACTTCCAGGTAACTTAGGGCCACGAAATAGGTGCGTGTGTTACGACAAGCGGCCTATAACTTCCAGGCAACTTAGGGCCACGAAATAGGTGTGTGTGTTACGACAAGCGGCCTATAACTTCCAGGTAACTTAGGGCCACGAAATAGGTGCGTGTGTTACGACAAGCGGCCTATAACTTCCAGGCAACTTAGGGCCACGAAATAGGTGCGTGTTACGACAAGCGGCCTATAACTTCCAGGTAACTTAGGGCCACGAAATAGGTGCGTGTGTTACGACAAGCGGTCGTCGATATATGACGGAACCGTTGCCGGTTTGACGTAAATTTAAGTCTTTCACTAACCACTTTAAGTGAAAATACATAGCAACGTTATAAGTGTACAGTGGAAACCTGATAGATAAGTATTTTCAAAAGTAGGATTAAAAACCCAGACTGGGATTTTCTTCTAGCTTACTCCTAATGCCACACAGTGCGTGTATACATCGTTTCCGGTTAACTATATGATCTGCCTCTTTGGACATCTCTTTGCTCTTTAAGCCTGGCAACCGTAAAACCGTCGTCTGGACACTTGGAAAATGTCACATTCCGCTCTGTGGTGTTTTCTATTAGTTTATCCAAAGATCACACCTGTCTGGTTACACTGTGATTGGTAGCACTGTTACATTAGGTCCAGTACTGATATATCAGAGTACCGTTTACATCAAACCCAAAAATCGATCAAGATTCCTCATCTATAATGAGTACAAACCTTTTAACCTTGTTAGTCAATTCCAAGTTAAGTCTGGGTCCCTTAAACTTCTATAATACCGTAAGTTGCATTGATCTTTTACACATTGAGTTCTGACTTCTTATACGCTGTGCTGCTGGTGGTTTGTGTTGTAAACGATTTCTTTTTTATTTTGTGTTGTGTAAGACTGTACCGAAGCACCGTTACCTTGTTATTTTGAAAGATGCTGCACTAGCAGTACAAGTAGAGGTTATATGCTCATAATACGCTCCTTATCAACGCTATGTTATTATGCGAGTCTGTAAGAACTGTCGTATGATGCTGTGCCATTCTTTTTTAGTTAATAGCGTGCAGCGAGCTGTTAAGGTCTTGAAAACAATACGCGTATGTATGAACTTTCGTCTATGTGAGGCTCCACTATCCTTCTTTAGTCGACATCCTCTGTGGTCTAGTGGAAAGAGCGTTTGCCCGGAGAGCGGAGTTAGATCGGAGGTTCGATTCCCCGGCCGCTTCATACCAAATGACGTTAAAAGATGGTACTTTAAGGGGATAAAACGGACTGGTCGATACGTAGTCAGTATACTGAGTGGGCTATCCATGTTAAAAATGCAGCATGGCTTTTCAGCTACCACCATAAAACCGGCACTGGTACAAGGAGCCACGCACGCACGCACGCACGCCCGTACACACAAGTGTAAGCACGTCGCTATATGAGTGGAATAATCTTGAACGCAACATTAAACCCCATTTCATCCCACCTCACTCCTTCAGCCGTATCTGTAGTTAAATCCAGTTTCCTCAGCAGCAACAAAAAGGATATATGCGGTGTCACAGTCCTTACTGACACATTTCTAAAGAATAAATGAAATCCGTTTCCGCTCATCAATCTTGGTTATGAAATCAATATATTAGGGAGGGGGGGAGGGGGGGGGGGGGGCGCTCAAAGACATGGCAGATGGTCCTGAAACAGCATTTATATATTAACTCTTTTCTATAATTGTTTTGTCAGATGTTAGAGATTAGAAACAATGTTACTAAATTCAATTTAAGGTTGGCTACTATCATCAGTTCATATCAGACATACCCAAATAAGGCCTTACTTCTTGAAGAGGCATTTAGAAGTACTAAGTGAGGATAAGATATATGGATAAACAACTTCTTTAATTCAATTAGGGGCGACATTTCGGTGTGGGTTCTACTTGCTTGCTCGCCGTGATATTGCTGGAATATTGCTTAAAGCGGCGTAAAACCATACTCACTCACTTCCTTGCTTGATAACGGTGGTAAAAGCTACACAGAAACGTTCCTCCTAGTTGTACTGAAGAAATTGTTTATCCATATATCTTATCCTAACTAATTAGGTTTAGTGGTTAAGGTACATAATTTACCTATGCGCCGTGAACTACAAACGTTCTAAAAACACAGACAAACTGTACAACGCAAATTACTGACATAGAGTGATTACAATGTCTGGCATTGCCCCATGAATAGTGTTCCAGGGGAATTGGAAGGTGCAATCTATAACAAATATCAAATGTCATCAAAAACACAATGACAAAGCACTTCCGAAATGAGTGAGCAGGTTTTTTAAAGGTAAAATCACAGTACAAGCTATGTGATGACACACAACAAAACCAACGGGGGAGACGATAGTGTCAATGCAGTGGTTATTCTCTGGCACTGATGTTAGAATAGGTTTGTTTGTTCATTGTTTAACGACGCACTCAGCAATATTCCAGCCATATGACGTTCTGTAAGTAATAGAGTCTTGACAAGATAATCCAGTGATTGACATAATGAGCATCGATCCACGCAAATCTGGATCGATGACATGCATCAACCAAGTCAACGAGCCTGACCACCCGATCCCGTTAGTCGCCTCTTACGTCAAACAAAGTCGCCTTTTACGGCAAGCATGGGTTGTTGAAGACCTATTCTACCCCGGATCTTCACGGGCCGTTAGCATAGGTAAAGGATTTGGAAACCGATGAGTCTGTTGAATGTGACTTGTTCATTTGATGTATATAAGAATAATACTGTATGACTATTCTAGACAATTTCCTTCTGCAATTCCCCATTTTGACGTGTATTATATGTTCCCGTGTGAACAGTTGACTTGTCTTTGCATGTGTTTGTGATGGAGCCACGGATGGAGCAGGACACCTTTTCTAGACTCCCTGGTATCATCACTATTTGCAAGTGATTCATAAACACATACGCACGATATAGTCTGAATCGTCCACTCGACTTTTGTTGTGCCGATTTGTTGTGAATATGGAAAGAGTTTGTCGTTTTTATTTCTATCAATTAGCCTGAAGATACAGTAAAATGAGTTAGCAAAAAAAGCTCCTCTTCCCTGTAATACCTACTGTGTAAGCCTAATTTACATTTATACTAAGGTAGGGATGATTTTGTTCATTTATGTAAACCTGGTGAAATCATTGGTGTAAAATGGTTTGTGGCCGAGCTTGAAAGAAGACACAGGTTTTATAAAGAACGTGCATATTTTACTTGATAACATATCTATATAGTTCCGTGAACTAATTTGTCACATACCTTGAAAGAATATACAGGATTAGTAGAGAAGGTGTGTATATCTAATCTAAAAATGGTTTGTGACAAAGCTTGAAAGAGAAGAAACATGATTTATAAAGAACGTGCATATTATACTTGACAACATATCTGTATAGTTATATAAAATGGTCTGTGACAGCGTGAAAGAAGATGCAGGATTTATAGAGAACGTGCATATTATACTTGATAACATATCTGTATAGTTATATAAAATGGTCTGTGACAGCTTGAAAGAAGAAACAGGATTTATAGAGAACGTGCATATTATACTTGATAACATATCTGTAGAGCTTGTAAAATGGTTTGTGTCAAAGCCTAAAAAATACAAGATTTTAAAGAGAACTCTCCCATTATACGTGATAGTGTATGTCTAGGTTCCGTGAAATGGTTTTGTGACATAGATTGAACCGAGATAGGAGTAATAATACAAATGTAGCCATTATCACAGAAACCCATTAGGATACATAAGGCTTCATGTCACAGTGGTGCCCCTAGCTCAAGCATTGACGGTACTTCTTCTGCCGAGACTAACACATGATGCTTTTAAGTTGTTCTGCCGTGGAACTAGATATATCCTTTTAACCCCCAAAAGGAGAATGAACTGAAAACTCGTTCCAAAAGAGTAGTCAGTGAAGCTGGAAGAACACACAGAGCAACAATGCCTCATCCTTTGCTCCACGAGAACCTGGCAGTATGGAAACAGTCTATTGTAGCGTTTATTCCATCTTGGATGGTTTCATTGCAACCAACACATGTGTTTGATTGAATGTGGCGCTACTAAATCCACATGGATCCTGATGTAATTCCATACGCGGCGAATCAATAATCTGAACACGAGCACAGGCAAATAAACCGGGGTTATGTACCTATTAACTAAGCTGTGTTGACATCAACATAGGCCGCTAGTCTAGACCACCTAGCCTATGGTAAGGGATAATAGTACTATCTAGTGTGACAATTATTGGGAAGGGGTATTCACGGTTGGCGGGAGCGTCTACTTGGATCAGTGCTTGTATTTATAGTGTCACAAAGCAGAAGAAAACACCTAGCGATATCACATCGCATTACGTATTCGCATGATCGGTTTGTACACTGATGAACTCGGGAATTCGCATTATCGTCAGCTTTGAGAGTCAGAGCTCTGTGAGACGTTCGATGCCTGTCGACATCTCACTCGTTTCAGATTCAGAGACACACGGTGACACGATTTCTTTGGTTTCAAATGGATAAACGTGGCGATGTCGTTAATTTCACCAACCTGTTTCCCGCCAGCATGTTGTCGTCTGCTAGACCCAGCGCAGACGACTTCCGTTACATGGATACCGGTAAAACCAAGTCAAAACGTTGAAAACAAATATCGACAGTTCTGATACTTACCTAATGATCACCAGTTACGTCTCTTGACCAGCTGGGTTCTGTACTGTGCGTTACACAAACGGTCGTCTGCTAGTCACGAGCAAGCCACACGCACAACGTAATCGCACCTCTGCATCGAGGTTTTCAGTTCTGGATTTCTGACTGTAATAGAGTTTACGGGGAATGGAATCGACTCGCTACAGCGGATGGATCGTGGCCCATGCCCATGCTCACATCCACTGTACTCTCTCAATCAGCAGTGGACCCGTCGCCGTGGCCCTACAGATTGATTCAGACTGGTCCTTCGACCACGTTCGCCTTCCCTGTCTCGCAGTCTCCATCAGCAACCCATACGGTCTTTGAGGATAGAAGACGCTTGCTCCAACCAAAATCGATAATCTATCTTCCCTCAAGATTTCCACAGTGGTACAACCCAATCAATTATTAGTTAACCAACCTACTGGCTCAGTGGAATCTCCCAACTAGCATCTTCCCTCGGCCAAAGTCTTATATTGAATGACCAGTTCCATAATGCCCACCAAGCCTTTATAACAATGTCTGTCCAATCGATTGTACAGCCTGTTCCCCCGAACGTGTGAATGGACCCGACCTTCAGAGTAGTATGGTACTATCGGCAATGGAATCGGCTTCTCAATAAACTGGCGTGAATTGAGTTGACTTTAATCAAATCGGGGCGGACCATCAACTTCACGCCATCTTGGAGCGACATTTATTGCCTTGTCGATGCCTTGTGACATATTCCTTCTGCTAGAAAACGTATTTACAAATTCCAAATTGAAACTTTCGCACTTTTTCTTTTCACCAACGGCAAATCCATGAAGGTAATTGCATCACTGTAGTGTTAATCAAATACACCCATATTCATCCACCGACACGTCACTTTCGAGTTTGTATTTATTGGTTGTGTAATGTTTATTTGTCAAACTTTTCTACCAGACACATGGGATGTTCCGTAATGGGGCGACAATGCAATCACCGTACGCAAAGAACATTTACCTCAATAAACTGTCAGCGAAGATAAAGAGGTTTTTTTATTTGGAGAAAATGAAAGTTTTATCAAGTGTCTGGCCTGTCTGGGACGAACGTATGAACATTTATTGAATCGTTTGAAGATGAGGTATCTGACAGAATTGTTTTCATCCAAAAGAAAAAAATGGAGATCTTTTTTCGGCTTAATAGTATTGCATCGAAGAGATAAAGTGTTTCTATGCTGCGTAAAATCGTAAGATGTCGTTTTTGTTATTTCATTTATTGCCTACATCGTTTGTTCCCCGTCCTTAAAAAGTGTTCTTTGTTTCAATGGAAATATAATTACAAAACATTGGAATTTGGGTTTTATATGCACACGAGCAGTAAGTAGTATTCTAGCTATATCACAAATGGCTAGGTCCGTGAAGATCCGTGTAAAAATAGGTCTTCAGCATCCCATGCTTCCCGAGGCGGCTATGCTTGTCGTAAGAGGCGACTAACGAGATCGGGTGGTCAGGCTCGCTGACTGGTTGATACATGTCATCGTATCCCATTTGCGTAGATCGATCCTCATGATGTCAATACCAAAAAGTGTGTTTCTTTGTTTATTTGTTTGTTGTTTAACGCCGTACTCAGCAATATTCCAGCCATTTGACGACGGTCTTTAAATAATCTTGTCTGGACCACACAATCCACTGATTGACATCATGATCATCTATTTACGCAATTGGGTTACGATGAAAAAGTCATCGACCAAGTCAGCGAGTCTAACCACCCGATCCCTTTAGTCGCCTCTTACGACAAGCATAGTCGACAAGCACGGGTTGCTGCAGACCTATTCTGTCTCGCAATCTTCACGGGACACGTTGCATAGTCTGTGATGTATTCTGAACAACATTCCAACAATCACTCATTCAAAAGGTAAATCTGATCTTGCAACTTTGAAACAATCTTTATGTATAAAATATTTAGTAAATCGTCTATCCTTTTCATAAGCAGAGAGAAATATTGCTGATGCGGCTGTAAACAATATTCACTCACCCACTCTTTTTATACATTATAACAAATCAATAATTTTACAAACATGGTAACACGAACACCTTATATATAAGGGAAATTGGAGAAGTGGAACAGCGTAATGTTTACAGCGTTCGCCCTTCACGACGAGAGTCCGGGTTCGATTCCCTAAATGTTCAACGTGTAAAGTCCATTTCTGGTGTGTCTCACAGTGATATTATTGGAAAATGACTATAAGCAACGAAAAGAATTCACCCATTCGATCACTATAAGGGAAAAAACACACTGTTAGATATTATTGATTGTTGTGAACACGGACACCAAAGACATGTTCCTTGTGCCAATATTTGCAATATAAGAGTTACGTTTAGCGTTTAACAAATGATGCGACAAGAATTAAAATATTTGCCATGTGTTCATATATTGACATTGTTGACATTTCTCACTACTTTATTTACAAGTGTGTATCTTTGTATGTATATGTGTGCTGTAGGCGCTTAAGGCGTGTCTGTCATCACAAATACAGCCACGCTGCTAGGGATACAGCGGCTAACTTAACTCTGTTTAACAATAGAATGGAGATATATATAGTTGATAATCGAAGATGGTCCTTGGCCACCAATGGCGTGACATTAATATTATTTGTTTGTTTGTTTTTCAACGCCGCACTCAGCAATATTCCAGCTATATGACGGCGGTCTGTAAATAATAGGCTTCACACAATGTACCCTTGTGGGGAATCGAACCCGGGTCTTCGGCGTGACGAGCGAACGCTTTAACCACTCGGCTACCCCCACAGCCCCTACCAGATGGGGAAAAAAAACAGTGTAGATATGAGTATTTTATCAATTATCATATCACCAAGGCGATCATCGAATCCGATAGGTTTTTTCAGTGGCTAAAACCGAATATCACAGGCCAGGGTCACACGAAATAAGTCATCAAGGGTGCTAAATCATTCCCACTGGAAGCGGTCGTAAAATCACTAACACAGGGAGAATGGATCTCAATTGGATTGCACAGAGGGGAATTTAGAGGTCAGAGATGCACGTCGAAGCCACCCTGGCCCGTTTCACCAATCTTAGCGCTGAGAATACCAAAATTCATATACAGTAAATCCCTCCTTAATTAGGACCCCGTTAATCTGGAAACACCCCCAACGGGACAATTACTACTGGCACGGTCACGTGTACATGCCATTATACTTTTTTTATTTAGCGCATGCTAAACGACAATAAAGTTCAACCGGTGGAACGTCAACAGAGATGCAAAAATCATCATCAGAGAAGCATTACTGATAATATAGGATTTCTATCAACAATCGAAAGTTAAATTGCCCTGACGGATATCAGAAAACATATGTCTGTCAGTTTTAAGTTAATTATATCCATTAAAGTGGTTTTATAAATGACTGAATCAATACGTGAAACTAATTAACTTTTACCATGGCGTCACGGGGAGGCTGCTAACCAGAGGACCGCACCCCAGAGATTCAGTGGCTATGGGCAACGTAAATCAACCGAAGTATGACGCCAAGCAGTCAAGCAGTCAACATAGGTCAATATATATATTGCGACCACAGTTAACGTGGGTTATGCCCTAGTCAACACGGGTTCACCTGGGTCGCTCAGGGTTTTGAGCGCAAGCAGTGGTACGAGATGTGTAGACTTCACTTCCAGGCTATTTATTCGGAACAGAATTGAGATATGATGCACAGGACAATCGAGGATGCTCCATTAGTTGCACCGTCCGCAAGTTTTATACTTTTACATCTCATCCAAGGGAACACGGAGTCTGCCTTTTAATCATTGAGCATCCAAGCCTGGTCGTGTGTTGCAGTGAATGAGTGATTTGGTTTAACGTCGCTTTGAACAGTAAATCAGTAACATCGGGTCTTGTAAGAGTAGCGTGAGAGGAAAGCCCACTTTGGTGAAACCGACGAGCACCGTACTGATGCGTACAACCCATGTGTTATAACTTCTGTCAAGGGCAGGTTTTTATCATGTTAATAGTATACCATATATGAGTGACTTTGTAAATAGAGTGAGACTGTTAGTGAGTGTTGTTTGACGCCGCTTTTAGCAATATATCCTGCTATATCTCGCCGGGAGACACCAGAAATGGGTTTCAACCATGTCGGGAATTGAACCAGGGTTTTCGGCGTGACGAGCGAACGCTTTAACCACTCGGCTACCCTACCGCTCCTTGTAAACAGTACGTTGTCAGGACGGTGGTAATGATCCTATATAATCCTTACCTATGTAAAACAACGAAACGACATTGAGCTATAATAGGTCCAACAACAATATACATGCAGTTGTTTTTCGAGATATTTCAAAGACTCCGATTTTATAAACAACGTAACGTCAGAATAGATATTTTTACCAAGACGGCGTCCCAGGATCTCCATAAAAAAACACATCATAAGACCCCACGTTATCCCGCCCGGTAGTCATTTCTAGAAACTCGGTTAATAGTACCCAATGGAATGGAAGTAACACACACACGCACACACGCACGCATGCACGCACGCACACACACACGCACGCACGCACACACACACGCACGCACGCACACACACACACATGCTTCATCGATCAATTAGATACAACACAGTTACCACATATATGAATTGGTATATTATCCTTCTATGCGGAAATGCAGCTCAGAAACCATATAGGACGGTATATTAATAGTAAACGTATTTAAGCGTGTATGGTATTCACTTTCCTTACAGTATTTTAACCACCTAATGGCTCGGAAATATTGATTATTCTCTTACATCAAAATTTTCAATTTCCTCACCGTTAAACTATATCTTCGAGAAGCGATAAATGGATTTACAACGTTCAGCATGGATTAGAAACTGCCTCTGTTGAACCAGTGCTTCCACAAACATAACGCCCATCGCCTACTCCCACCACGCAACAGGGATGGCTATCGTCTTTTCTTCAGGTAAGAATGCCTCCCACGTCTAGAAACGAATCCTCTACCATAAAGAGGGATGGGGAAAGATTGTTGAAATGTCCTTGTGATTTCATTACATGTAAAACGTTTCAGTCTCTTAGCAGTTATACTTAGGTCGAGTAGGTGGGTATTTTCAGCAGCGTATTGATTTTGGAATAATGTTGAGATTACATCGGTATCAACATCGGAACTGTTGACGTCCACGCGACGAGGACGTGGGGCTTAAAACTACATGGAGTACTTCTGTGGAAATAGGCTGAGGATTTCGCTGTGATTGGTGTTGCAATGTAGCCCCGAGGGTTAAGGAGGGTTTGTGGTATGTAGGTTAGCAGTGGTGAGTGAGTGAGTGAGTTGGGTTTAACGCCGCTTTGAGCAGTATTCCAGTTAAATCGCGGCGTGTCAGCTTAATGTGGGAGGAAAGGAATACAGATCTCGGACATTTACCACTTTGGTGAAACCCACGGGCACTGGCATGGTGCTGACAAACCTAGAAACATGATCGGGGCAAACCGGGATTCGAACCAACGAGCATAGGTTTCTGGTGTGCCCAA